CAGAAGTAAACAACATTCTCCTCCATTTACTTCATCAGAGAGAAGTTCCTGAGACAGATGTTCTGCTGCTTTCATTTGTGTCACGTAAAGGGAAGAGTGGGCTTCATATACTGTCTTAAAGTCTTTCTTTTTTTGTGTGTGTAGAAACAGGTAAATGTGATTTATGCTGAAGGAGATTTATCTCGTTTGTTTCTGTTCCTGAATTCTGCTTGTATTTAAACCTGAATGGAAAAACTGAGAAAAAGCCAAATGCCCAAACCAGATAGCTTCCTTGTAATCTTCCATCATGTTCTTGTTTTTGAAAGAAAAATTAATTTTATGGTAGTTCTGTCAAAAATATAATCTTGTTTAAACAGTGAGCGATCTTTGCCCAGATGTACATTTACTCAGAATCATTACATACTATTTCTATTTTAGAGGATATTTATGAGCTTCCCTTTAAAACTACATTCAGAATTACTGATGAAAATCACTATAGTGGAATATGAGAAAACATTTCTTTTTTATGTGGAACCATAAATTCTTGAAAGAGTCAGTGTGCAGCAGTAGTTCCAAATCAGCAGCCTGCCCATTACAGCTGTGCACATGGGTCTACACACCAAAGCTCTTCTGCTGCACAAAACTACCTGCTGTCTTGTTTTGTTCTCTTAGGCTACGAGAAGCATCTTGAAACCAAAAGGTAAAATAGAGATACTTTTATAGTCAGTAGGCTTTCTTTCAGAAGAGCGGATGCTTCTCTGATACCTGTTAGTCTTTCATTTTTCCTGTTTGTTTTTTTTTTTCTTTTTAACTTTGTAAACTAGAAGTCTGATGGCATCTGATTCTTGGAATCAGTTTATATTCAAGTGACAAACCAGCTTGGGTCTGCAGATATGGATGGATAGTTTGGCTCACCTGAAATTCAATTTACTCCCTTTTTTGTGAGTATCTCTTGATGGTAACTACAGTACTGCTACAGTAGAACACAAACATACTGATCTTATGTCAGTCTTTTTGATGAACAGTTTTGAAATACATTCCTAATTAATGGGAAATAATGTAAAGCATTCTTGAGAGTGCAAATTGATGAGAAGGTCTGTTCACAATTGCTAGTGTGGCTCTCATACTAAGTAATCTGAATGGTGGCATTCTTGCACATGAGGGACAGCCATTGCTGTGAACTGGTAAAGTTCACAAAAAAGTTTCTTTTTTTTCCGTTGCTCATTTATTTTTTATCTAGGAACATATAGCATGACTGTGTTTGGATGGAAACATTGATAAAGAGAAGTTTGAGGGGATATTTTGTCCTTAAGTCTGTTTTGCTCAGATAGACCTGATGAGACTTGTAATATTAGACTGAACTGAATATTGGCTTAATCCTTTTTGTACACTCTTCAGTGAGTGGAGATTTCTGTTTTCTTAACTATGCTGGTACCACGGAAGTGTTAGGGCTGAATGCTGAAACAATTTTCATTAGCCAGAATAAATGCTCCAGGTTGTTGTGCAAATGCTTCACCACATTTATCAATGCCTCAAAATCAGCAGACTTTGTAACAAGAAACTTCTATCAATGAAAGCAGCAAAAAAAAAATGTGAGCAGATGATTTGTCTAATGCTGCCGTGCTGCAGGAGTGTGGCCATGTGGTAGAGACCTGCCGGTTTTTCTAGTCTTTCCTGTGCTCCCACAGGGATGCCAGTGAAATTTCACATGAGTTCCCAGAAGAGGTTTGTAAGGAGCAGCTTCTCCTCTTGGTAATGTTTTCCAGAGAAATCTCAGTGTCACTATTTAACAATTGAGTCTTTTGTGTGGGAAAAGAATTTTGTTTGCTCTCTTGCTGCCTTACAGCTGTCCTAGACCTGCTACTGCTGTGATGATTGATGTGCGGCCAATTTACACTGAGTAGGTAGATCGGATGAGAAAATGTCTAAAATCTAATTAGATGTTGTCATCTAATTAAGGTAAATAAAAAAAAAAAAAAAAAAGAAGAAGGACATCACTGTCAAAAACTGAAATCTTTTTCTTCCTCATAGTTAGATTAGTTGGGAAAGTCGCAGTTAATCTGGTATCTAAGTTCTCAAGGAATAGCTGGAGAAGATCACATTCCACAGTCCTGGAACATGCAGGTCCAGACTATTGAAAAGAAGAAAAATCTGTTGAAAATCACCTTTAAGAGTTTGTAGACATACAGAACATGTTTATAATCAAATAATTATGGGTGCATTCTGCTGAACACACAGGCTGGTTTGATTTTTTTTTCTGTATTTCAGACACTTCCTTTATTGATCTCAATTTTTGTCCACATTGTGAAGAGGCAGTAAACTTTGTAGAGAGTTAATGATCATGTACTTTTTCATCTGAAACCAGAACCATGTTTAAAGTCTCATTAGTGAAATACCTTTATTTTCTAGACAATTAGTGTTACCAGTATGGAAGAACAAGTGTACGGTCTTAACTGGAGATCTCTAGACATGTCTGTGCAGTTATGTTCCTGGCTGTCAGCTATAATTATGTGTGCAGCTGTTAGAACATTTACTCTCTGGATCACAGGGGGACCATAAGTAAATTGCTGGCATGTCCTTTCTTCTTGCATTCTGGCAGTGGTGTATAAGAATTCATACTAGAATAGGTAAATGTAGGAAAATGTGTGAAAGGTGTCTGTGGTGGTACTTGGATCTTACTGCACACAATGATTTGCCTTCATTGGTCTCACTTTATCTGTTGTGTTTTTTTTCTGAGATAAACTGCATCAGATGCTGTAATTGTAAACTATGCTGTCAGTTCCTAAATATGATAAAAGAGTGACTGACAATGAAGAAAAACTTTGCAGAGATGCTTGGTGTGACTTGAATCAAAGGTGACACTCTGTGAGAATATAAGGAAATTGGTGTTGGTAGCCTCACAGGGTTTGATTCAGAGCAGGTAAGTTATAGTTTCCTTTTGCTCATAGCCTCTGTCCTTATACTCAATAACATGGAGTAAAAAACATGGAGAACAATCAGTCACTGTTTGGCAGTGAAATCCATGGCTCTCAGGTGATAACCTAAAGCCTGTATGTTCTTAGTGGACTTTTTAGACACCTAAGACAATCAGTGGGGGAAGAATGTCACCTGTGTAGAAGGAACTCCTAAAGAGACCTGAGGGGATGCTCCTCTTATCTGGCACCATTCTCTCCAATTTGGTCATCTGCCTTCTTTTCCTTTTTATGACTGATGAAGGCTTTTTCTGCTTCAGAAGAATGTTCTCCAAAATGTGCCCTTGTTGCAGTTCATAGTTCAGTCCCTGAAGGAAAGGTATTGAAGCAAATTCTCCTTGAATCTGTGCTGTTTGAGGCAGAGAAGCAATATGTACGATGTTGCTTGTTCCAGGGAAGAGCTTGGGAAAATCTTGTCCTTTGTGCCCATGTGTTCTGTGTAAATAAGTCTGAAGATCTTCAGTGATGATGAATTTTTTGAAGGTTACCTTGAAGGTGTTACGTTTGCTTCTAGCAAGAGTCTACAAAGGGGCAAAACCACTAGCATGCTAATGACCTGTTGTTGCAAAATGTTTTATGTATTGCTGCTGTGTGGCAGGTGATTATGGGTACTGTGTCTTTTTGAAAGTAAAAGTGAATGTAACTGCAAAAAAACCATCACCCCTGTGCAAATTATGTTACATTATTCAGGCTAGCAGTGACAAGAGCTGGATTAAAGACAGTGCAAACATATATATATGTATGTATATATATATATATGCTTTTTTCCTGGCTTATTAGGTAGAAATCCTAGGGAAAAACAGTGAGTCTGCAGCAGGCTGTTGTGATGAGGTATGGTGCATCTCCATTGCAAGTCCTTGGGCTCTGACTGGAATTTGGGAGATCCAGGGAGTCTGCTGTATTGGTTTGTGCTGGGTGAGGCAGCACTTGAATGGGGAAGACCTAAAGAAGCCTGCAATTACTTGAATTCAATAGAGCAGAGGTAAAAAGGCAGCCTGCCAGCCCTGCTGGAATGGTGTTTCTTTTGCTGAAGTAGGAAGTTTAATAAAAAATCAAAACAAAACAAAACAGATTTATGTCATATTTGACTCAGCATCCAAAGACTTCATGATTAGACTCTTTTCAGATTCAGTGGAAGCTCAACATGAAAATTTCTTGCTTTCCAGCTGCAACTGTGCAGACGGTAATTGGAGTATTCCATAGCCTGTGGTATTTAGGTGAGGGAGGGGAAAACATTATTGGTCATAAATACAGAACATCTGTGTATTTGATACTGTTACAGGGAAAGAATTGAAATACTCTATCCTTTACTCAGGAATACAGCAAAGGCTGCTGCTTTGCTGATAAAAGACCATGTGACATTTGGCTTTTAAACCAGCCTGTGTTGCTAACTGTTTGGTTTGTGAAATTTAGCTGTCAAGTAGATCAGTAATGGCAGTATATCCTCTGTTTGCCTGAAAATGTAATGAAGGCCTTCCTTTCCGTACAAGAAACATGAGCTGTTTGTCTTGCTGTTCAGAGTTCTGTTTCCTGTTTGCCTCCCTGTCCCCTCTATCTTGCTCATTCCTGAAGAAAAGATCAGTTTATGGCTTTCTTGTGACTGCAAAGTCCGTCTGTATTACCTTCTTATTTTTCAAACCAGCATCTCTGTGTGTTTTTTCTGTGTTGCTTCTCAGACTTCAAAGAAGTCCTCCAGAAACATTCACAAAGCTTTTCCTTAAAGCTTGCTTATGCAGTGATGTCTACAGAGCCTTTGAGGAGGGTTAATGCTTCTGAGGTTCTTTGTCTTTGAATACTGAACTATTTGTATTGTCTGTTTGCTTCCTTACTGTTGTTTCCTTTTTTTCTATAGCTTCTTCCGTTTCCTTTTTTTTTCTTTCTGTCAGGGACTGTTTCTGTTCTGACCCAGACCTAACGCTTGTAGGCTCTTTCATAATGTGGAACATGAGTGAAAATCACATTTGTATTTGGCACAGCATTTAAACTAGCAGTGTGATGAACAGGCCACAAGCAGCCTACATTATTAATGTGTCTGCTTTTGTTCCACAGAAGCCCCTTGTGCTACTCCATTGATCTGTAGCTTTGGAAGGCCAGTGGACCTTGAGAAGGATGACTACCAGAAGGTTATATGCAACAACGAGCACTGCCCTTACAGCACCTGGATGCACCTTCAGTGCTTCTATGAGTGGGAAAGCAGCATTCTTGTCCAGTTCAATTGCATCGGCAGAGCAAGGAGCTGGAATGAGAAGCAGTGTCGCCAGAACATGTGGACAAAGAAGGGATACGACCTCGCTTTTCGCTTCTGCTCCTGTCGGTGCGGGCAGGGTCATTTGAAGAAGGACACTGACTGGTACCAGGTGAAACGAATGCAGGATGACAAGAAGAAGAAATCAGTGTTAGAGAAGAGTACAGGGAGGTCTATGGTGGAATCAGCAGAAGAGGCCAAAAAGGGCAGGCCAGCCAGCAAGCCGCAAAAGGGCTTAAGTCATGACATCCAGCGAAGGCATTCAGTGGACAGACAGAACTCCCAAGAGAAGAGTGTTATTGGTGGCAGCTATGCCGTTCGCTCCCCCTGCGTCTCTCCTGGGCAGTCCCCACCAACCGGCTACTCGATCCTCGCCCCCACCCACTTCAGCGGCCCCCGCTCATCACGATACTTAGGAGAGTTTTTAAAGAATGCCATCCACCTGGAGCCACACAAGAAGAACATGGCTGGAGGGGGAATGTTCAGGAATGCGCACTTTGATTATGGGGCAGCTGGTTTGCAAGCACATCGGTCGGGACACTTTGATGCCCCCGTGCAGTTTTTGAGAAGGCTTGACCTATCCGAGCTTCTCACTCACATACCCAGGCATAAATTGAATACTTTTCATGTGCGAATGGAAGATGATGCCCAGGTGGGCCAAGGGGAGGACCTGCGGAAGTTTATTCTTGCTGCTCTTAGTGCCAGCCACAGGAATGTTGTGAACTGTGCACTGTGCCACAGGGCATTGCCAGTGTTTGAACAGTTTCCGCTGGTGGATGGAACCCTATTTCTTAGCCCATCGAGACACGATGAAATTGAATATGATGTTCCCTGTCACCTTCAAGGTACAGGTTGTCTGTCCGTCATGCTAGGTTTCATTTGGTGGTGGGACTGCTTTCCATACCCCACTCCCCATTTTAAATTTTCATTCTGATTCAGCATTTTTGAGTTGTACTCTAAGGCTTGGAAGCACGTTCAAATTACAGCGTGGGTCAGGTTGAAATTCTTGGCAGGAATTACAAAAAACAAATACTGTGTAGAAAGATCCATGCCTTGTGATTTGTTTACAACCAGGAGATATCTTACCAGGTTACTAGATAGACTGTAGGAAGATTTTTCAGCCACCTTATTGCAGTGTGTATGTACTGATTTATATGTTGTGAGTTTTCCTCTAAGACATACATCAACAGCATACATTTCGGCATGCTGGGCTGTGGCATGGAAGAAAGTCGTATTTGTACTGCCAGCTATGCCTCTTGTCTGCTTTCAGACTAGAGAATATCAGTTTCGTTTTATTGGAGACAGTATTTTTTTGCGAGGCAAAGACTGTAGTGTAGCCTGTATTAGTGCAGGCCTAGACAATTTATGTGGCCTGGAGAGGTTGTACGTAGTGCAAATAAGCTTTTATGGTTCTGAGAAGAAGTGGTGATGGAGTAGTGAGGGATTTAGAAGTTGTTTCAAATTCCCGCCTCTTTGGTCAGCACCCTGACCGTGTCCCGGCTCTGTGCTGAGCCAGGGCCAAGGCATGTGTTGTTTTTCTCCTCCCAGAGAAGTAAACAAACATGGACTGGGATGAGCTTCAGCTCTTCCCAAAAAGTATGTCTCAAACTGAGTGATAGGGTCAAAACACATCTGTCCTGCCGTCTGCTGGCAGCCAGTGTGGCTAACACAAGTCAGAGTTAGTTTAGTGCTCAAAAACATGAAGTTCTGTGTTGAAAAGTGTAATGGGAATGCAGTAGCAGGAGGCATTTTAGCACTTGCTCTCCTTTTGTTAAATTTGTTATATCTCATGTGTGGCCATAATATCTGTTATATAATAATGTTCCTTTGCTCAGCAAACTTTGTATTGTTTTCTTTATTTAAATCACTGTGTGCTAAGTCACTGACCTGTATTCATGCTAATATTATCATTTCTGTCTTACCTAATATACTTTAAAGGGAAAAAGTGATAGGAAAACTTAGAAGTTGAAAAATCTGCAAGATAAACAGGATATACCTCTGTGAGATAACTGCTTATTGGCTGTTGTGAGGAGGCATGCACAATCAGTCCTAATAGCTGGTTTAGAAAGAGTGGAACTTGTCACTTGTTAACTTGTTTGCCACTAGGAATGAAACTCTGCCAAGTGTGTTTTTTGTTTGGTTTTGGTTTTTTTTTTCATTAATTGCTCCTTACCCATTTGATGGTACACCTGAAAAACGTATTCAGACAAAATGCTGTGACTAATTAATTGTTAAAAATTTTACCTCGTTATCCTGGGTAAAGTGGTTTATTATCAGAACTACTGTTCTCAGCTTTGCAATGAGATTATGCTTGCAAGGTGCTGTTCCAGGGTGTTACTTTCTCTTCAGTAAAGAAAATCACTTCTTTATTTCATGCATGTTTAAGATACCAAGAGTCTCATTTCCTATAGCATAGGAAGTACTCTGTAGGATCCTGAAAATTAAGTGGTGGGGAAATTCAGCATTGTAATACGCAGAAGCACAACTTAAGATGATGAAAACTATTTGTCCTCCTTTGCAACAGAAAGCTTTAGTGCATGGAGTTACTTGAAAGTCTCCAATCTCGAGGAACAGAGCTTGTTACATTTTCTAAAGCTGAACACTCTGGAGGAACTCAATTTACCAGCTCATACCAACAAATTTTTTTGTGTATTTATATTTTAAGAAGAATCTGGTTTTCCTTTTCATTTTTTCTAGAGTAGTTGATTTAAAAATAAAACAATTTAAAAGTAATCCATTAATTTTAAAGTATCTGGTATGAACAAATCATATCTTGTTAATATTTTATTTCACTTATGTAGAAAAGGCACAAGTTGCTCTTTAAATTACAAACTGTGATGTGTCCAGTGCTTTGATGCTAATGAGCACAAATTGCAGTCCAACAAAGCACTGTCTGTATGCAGTCAGTCTTGTTTTGTATTTGATTTGTAACTGCATTACTACTTAACTTTCTCTTGTGTAGCTGTGCAAAATGTGATATATTACAGAATTAATACCCTGTGTAAGTCCACTACTAAACTGCGGATGGAATCAGTCCCTGCAAATCAGACCTATGTAGATTTGAGATCTTTGTAATTTGTGTAAGGCTTTTTGTTTCGTGGGAAGAATCGTAGAATCGCAGGGTTGGAAACAACCTGCAAGATGATTTAGTCCAACTGCCCTCTCACTACCATTGCTACCACAAGCACTAAACCACATCTCATTGCTCCTCATCCAGACGCCTGTTGAACACTGCCAGGGATGGCGACTCCACCACCTCCCTGGGCAGCCATTTGAGTGTCTGACCTGTCTGAGAGAAAAAGTTCTTCCTCATGTCTAACCTAAACTTCCTCTGGCACAACTTGTGGCCATTTCCTCAAGTCCTGCTTGTTGCCTGGGAGAAGAGGCCAAATCCCTCTTCACCACAGCCTCCCTTCAGGAAGTTGTAGAGTGCAGTGAGGTCTCCCCTGAGCCTCCTCTTCTCCAAACTGAACAATCCCAGCTCCCTCAGCCGCTCCTCGTAAGACTCGTGCTCCAGACCCCTCACCAGTTTCATTGCTCTTCTGTGGACATGTTCCAGGGCCTCAATGTCTTTTTTGTAGTGAAGCTCACGTCTTGGATTTTGCATTGTTGTGTTCAGTGACATTTGTGCGGAGAAGATACTTTGTTTTAAAATCTGAATCTGTTGATTTTTTTGGAAGGCAGTATAAATCAGTTTTTGAAAGTTATTGTGTATATGGAGCTTAAGTTTGTGATAGAGCTTGAAACATAGGTTTGTATGGCATGTTAAAATCTGTGTAATATGTAATGTTTACTATCAATGAATTGTTAGGAAAATGTACAGAAAAGAAAGTTGCTCATCTAGTTGTTGCTTTTTTTCCCACAAGGAAGATTAGTTGCTGGAAGATTTTGGCAAGCTGTTAAATGAACCCAGCTTGCTAAGAAGCTTCAACACTTCTACGCTTTCTGTGTCAGGCGGGGATGTAGCTAAGGCACAGTCTTCTTGTTGGAAAAACTGCAGCTGATCATATAGCTTAATAACCTGGCATCTGCTCATTTGGTTTAGGCAACTTTTATAAAGTATTTTGCTAAAGTCTATAGCACATAGAGGAACAAGGGGATCAGAAATGGGCAGTGTTGACTTTTTCCTGAGTTTCACGCGTATGGTAAATATCTTCAGTCAAGTCTTACGTATTTTCCATAGAGAAACACTTTTTTTTGCTTATCTTTCACTCTTTTTGAAATTAGGATTTTAATAAGGTATGATTTGTATCGCTAAAGGGCAAATAACACATTGTGGGAAATGTCTGTTTTAATCTTCTGTTACAGTCTCCTTAAGAAGTGTGTTTCCTGTCCACAGGAAGGCTTATGCATCTCTATGCTGTTTGTGTAGACTGCTTAGAAGGGGTTCACAAAATTATCTGCATTAAGTGCAAGTCCCGATGGGATGGAAGCTGGCATCAACTGGGAACTATGTATACCTATGATATTCTGGCAGCATCTCCTTGTTGTCAGGTCAGTATCGTACGTAAGACTCCTAAGGTGAAATTCCACTAACGATAATAAAGGTTTGTGTTTCTCTTTTCCATCCCTTCCTTCACCCTTCTTTTTGCAGCCTATGAGTGCAGTACAAGAAAGCTGACTGAGTCTCTGTCCCTTGATCTTAACTTACGGAGTACAAAGGCCTATAGCTAGACAAAAGCTAATGTAGTGGTCAGTGGACAGTGCTTGTTATATTTTGTTTGTTTCATATAAATCCCCATAAAATGCATTCACAATTAAAGCTGATGCTTGGGATGATCACTAGGAAGTGGTATCTGTGGTATCATATACAATTCTAGTAATACTTGAACATTGTTTAGCAGGTGATCTGTGGATTCAAGTTTCTAGTTGCTTGAGGGTTGTTTTATCCTAAGATAAATGTAGTAAAAAAGCCAGGAAAATTGAAAGGTATAAAGAGTCTTTGTGCATAGAGATACCCATCTCTCCTTAATCTTTTTTGTGACTGACTGTGTTGATGGTATCCTGCCACAGCCTGAAGAAGCTTAACTTCCATTAAATGCTCACCTAATTTATGCTTTTGGTAGGAAGGAGTCAAGGCTTCAGGTTAGTCCAAAGTAGACACGTACCTGAAGCAGCAGGACCATCAGCATCCAAGAGATCTTCCTTTCTGAGGAGTGGAAACTCAGCAGTTTTGTTGTGGAGGTAGCTGTAGAGCCAGACAAAAGCTAATGTAATGATTGCTTAGTGGCCATACCCATGAAACCAAAACCAGCCATTGCCTTCAAACAGGCAGGATTTGTCACTGACTTAGAGCAGGTGCTTGCCAAGATATTTGCATTCCACCACTTTGTGGTGTTGTGGATGTTTTCCACAGAGCTTTGCGGTGTCTTTGTTTCTTACTACTGCAGAGTTCCAAGCAGTTTCTGAGGGAGGTTCAAAAGGAAGACTACCCCTGGCCTTAAAGATGTGGCAGTACAAGAGACAACTGCAATGTAGTTTTTCCAGTATGTGGAACTGAATTTAATTTTAAATTTAACATTTCTACTGATGCTGAGAAGACAAGTGGAGTTCCTGGAACTGGAAAAAAATGACATTGATTATATTGGTGTGATATATATATTATATCAGTTATATATATTGATTATAACTTAAGACATTACCTCATTTTTTGTGCTTCTTGAGATTTTAGCTATTTTAAAATGGGATTTTCAGTTATAAAACATTGATGCTACTTGCTAGTTCAGTAAAATAGAGGAAATTTAAATCTGAATTGCTTCTATTGAACGTGCAAGACAAGAATTAAGGTCTCATTATACATGAATCTTAATTGTATGATTAATGGACAGTGTGACAGTACAAGGTAAGTAATAGAACTGAATATAAAACCATTAGCTTCAGTGTGTGTGATTGCTGGCTGATACATATTATTGTTTCACCACAATTGTTACAGATGATTTTGGGCATACAGAGGAATGACATTTAAATATTGTGTATAATTTAACTCTGAATTGCCTTCCTGATTTCTGTTTTGAATAATTGCGTACCTTATTTCAAAATATTTAATTGTACTCCATGAATGTGCTTGTAAGATAATGAACTACAGCCACTGTCAGGTTGCTTGCAGCTAGCTGATGGGCTGAACTGTAGCAAGAGGAAAAAGCACACTTCTTAAAAGAAAATACTGTAAATCCATTCCCTATTAGACTGTATTTCTTACAATTTCTTCATTTCAAGCAGGGCAGATATCTGAGGACTTTGTTTTCTTTCTTCTTGAGTCTTGTCTCAACAGCAGTAGTACTTCAATAATTTCTTCCTCCTCCCAAGAAAATACATTAAGTCAAAGATGATACAGAAAAAATCATTTGTTCTTTTCAATGAAGAAATGCTCTCATGCTCTCACTGGCATGTAGGTCTATGGGGTTAAGCTGTGGTATGTATCAGGCCCTCGCTGCTTGTTTTGTCATCTTTACTCTTAACCTCCTTTGTGATTCTTAAGTCTCCATTTCTCCTGAGTGTTTTTGTATTGCCTGCTGAGCTTTCTGTACAGGAAATGAGCTTATTTTCTCAGCTAGATGTCTCCTGAAAACTTTTTCTTGTTGTTTTTCATGCTGATCATGAATAGCTCTGCCAGCCCTTACCCTTCAATTTTAATTGTTTCTCCTATCTACTCAGTTAATGTTGGTCCTGCCTCAGTTGGGTTTTGTAAAATAGTTTTAAAAGTGACAAAAGCTTTAAGTGACCTACAGTTTATGTAACCTGGTGTGTATTATAAATGTTTAAGTAGATATTTAAAGAGATAAAATACTGTGCCATACTGATAAAGTAAATTGAGTTATACGTTTGTCAAACCGAAAAGATTAGATTGTTAAACTAAAAGATTAAAGTGCTGATACATCTCGTGGAGAGATCAGAATGTAAACCTAAAAAGACACAGTGAGAGCTCTAGGGTAAGGATTGCATGGCACGCATGTGAAGTTTCCCTCCTCACTTAAGGGCTGCTTTTGTGATTTATTGAGACAGCATTCATATGCCAAGGACATGAATTTGTTCTGAGGTGAACCAACGCTAAGCAGCTCTGTGCATATATGAGCTTTGAAACTCTAAACCACCTGTCAGTCACAGTGGATGATATTTGAGTTGTAGACTCTATGGGCTATAGATGTTATTTCATGTGGAAAAAAATCTGCATGCCTGTAATTTACTGGTCTGGGTGAACTATGTCCTTACTGGCAGGTGCCATGGCTGCAGGTTTCCTGACTGAAGCTGTTAACTACCAGAGGCCAGGGCAGTGTGTCTCTTGCTGAGGTGAGGAATGGAAGTGAATCTGGTTATTTCAAAAATGTTTTTCTTGTTTTTTCTTTCTTTTTTTTCTTTTTTTTTTCTTAAGGCTCGACTGAACTGTAAGCACTGTGGGAAGCCAGTAATAGATGTACGGATTGGCATGCAGTATTTCTCCGAATACAGCAACGTCCAGCAGTGTCCGCACTGTGGAAACCTAGACTACCACTTCGTGAAGCCATTTTCTTCATTTAAAGTTTTGGAGGCTTATTGACGAAAGCTTTGCTTTAGTAATAGTTATTTTATGGGTATTTCAACTTTATTACATATCTTTTTATAGAATTCATTCTGTGATGAAATTACTTTCTTTTCTAACTGAAAGAGCAGCTTCTTTGTCTGTGTACATATGAATATGTATATATACATGTTGTTAAATCAGAATCCTCCTGATGAGATCTCTGTCAAGGCTGGAGGCAAGCCAATTTTAATGGCCTTTGAATATATCCCAGGTGTGGGGATAAAATGTTCAGCTATAATTATTTGGTTGTGTTTTTTGTATTATTGTAATACAGTTGATAGAAGGGTGTGGAGAGTACAGGATGCAGAAATATATGCTGGTGGCAGGTGGGTAATTGTGTAGGTTTGTTGTCCCTCTAGCATGGTGGAAAAGGGAAATCCTTGGAAAGAAGTTGTCCCATTAGTGTTAAATTCATCAAGTCTCTTGCATCCCAATGGGGGCAGGTGCATACGTATCCCAGACGTGTGGTCGTTTCTGTGGGCTTTTGTTCAGGTTTCCCAAGGTGGGGGAAGATTAAGATACTGTGACAAGTGAATGTAAATCTGTGCCAGAAAAGGTAATCTTGAATTATTTTTTGGCATAGTGTCTTCCTGCCATGTATGTTTGGTGTGTGTTACCCACACTGACTGATCGTATGGCAATAGGGCTGCTTCCACCAGTGTTGTAATGTTACCAGTTGGGTCATTTGTTTATACCAAAACAAGCTGAATATCTTAAAACGCTTTATTTAAAGGTATTTCTTCACAGATGTTTTAGAACCTCATGATAAGTGGAAGGAACAGGCTGAACTGAATGGGGATGCTTGTGTGTGTCTGCTGGGGCTGGGGCATTGCTTCCCACTGCTGACTAGTTTGACTGATTCGGAAGGAAGACCGCGAAGTGGGATCTGGGCTATCAGACCTGTAAGAGCTGAAAGGCACCTAATATGACACATGGCATTGGTTTTTAAGTCAATGAATTGCTGCACCATTGTCTTTCAAAAGTTCAGAAAGACCAGGATCTAAAATCTTGAAGACTTTTTAGAAAGCAGACTTAGTGTATTTACTTTCTACACACCTCTGTGCTGTATGTAGTGGTCTGTGCATTAGGCAGTGAATTTGTGTTATAGTGGTTGGCCCTGTAGAATCTGCAAATTTTTTCACTCCCCGCTTTTTCCTTCCATAAATAAAAGTTTCTAAATAGGTTCAATAAAAGTTTTAATAGGTCACTGATATTTTACTTGGTTATTCAGGCTGGCAGAGATGCTTGCAAGAACTTTCTTTGTTCACAGTGTATTTGTGGAATGGTCCATCAAGAGGTGTGGGTTTTGATTCTCCATGAGATGGGATTATGTTTTGTTTCTTCTGAGGTTTTTCGACTTTCCCCAAATTACTGTCTTAGTGTATCTGTAGAAATCACTATCTTGAAAATGACCCTGATAACTGCACATCCTCAGAAGAAAAGAAAAAAGTCAGAAAGGGAGAAAGAAAACAAAAAAGTCAGAAGCCAAAAAAGCATTGCATGCGCTGGACAGAGAACTATGCTTTCTGCTAAATTAAGAATCAATTGGCTGATTGGCAGAGCGCAGAGGGTCGTCTTTGGTGATGCAGAGTCTGGCTGGAGACCTGTAACCAGTGGTGTTCCTCAGGGGCCGGTGCTGGGTCTGGTCTTGTTCAACATCTTCATCAATGACCTTGATGAGGGGATAGTGGCCACCCTCAGCAAGTTTGCTGATGATACGAAGTTGGGAGGATTGGCTGACATGCCTGAAGGCTGTGCTGCCATTCAGCCAGACCTGGACAGGCTGGAGAGCTGGGCAGAAAAAAAACGGATGAGGTTTAACAGAAGCAAGTGTAGAGTCTTGCATCTGGGGAGGAATAATTGCATGCACCAGTACAGGCTGGGGGATGAGCTGCTGGAGAGGAGCTCTGCAGAGAGGGACCTGGGTGTCCTGGTGGACGACAGGTTGGCCATGAGCCAGCAGTGTGCCCTTGTGGCCAAAAAGGCCAATGGCATCCTGGGGTGCATTAAAAAGAGCGTGGCCAGCAGGTCAAAGGAGGTGATCCTCCCCCTCTACTCTGCCCTGGTAAGGCCTCATCTGGAGTACTGCGTCCAGTTCTGGGCTCCCCAGTACAAAAAAGACAGGGATCTCTTGGAAAGAGTCCAGCGGAGGGCCACAAAGATGGTGAAGGGCCTGGAGCATCTCTCCTGTGAAGAAAGGCTGAGTGATCTGGGTCTGTTCAGCCTTGAGAAAAGGAGACTGAGAGGGGACCTGATCCAGGTTTGTAAATATCTAAGGTGTGGGGGGCAGAATGGTGAGGACGGACTCTTTGCAGTGGTGAGTGGAGACAGGACAAGGGGAAACGGCCGGAAACTGCAGCATAGGAAGTTCTGCACAAATGTGCGCAAGAACTTCTTTACAGTGAGGTGACGGAGCACTGGAACAGGCTGCCCAGGGAGGTGGTGGAGTCTCCTCTGGAGATGTTCAAGACCTGCCTGGATGCCGACCTGTGCGACCTGCTGTAGGGAACCTGCTTTGGCAGGGGGGTTGGACTCGATGATCTCTGGAGGTCCCTTCCAACCCCTACAATTCTGTGATTCTGTGAAGAAAATAATGTGCACGTAAAACTTGAACTGAATACCCACGTTTCTTTGTGCATAAAAAATGCCAAGTTCACAGTTTTATCCTGTCTGTCTTCTCTGCAGAATTAGCTTTTTTTTTGGTATTAGACACTTCAGATAGTACTCAAGCTGCACAGAGGGCTTATGTTGGCAAAGATCACTTACTCCTAACTTGAGTGGTAATATCCTTAGAAGCAAGCCAAATCAAGCTAATGATTTACACATCTGGATAGGGCTGGGCTGTCTCATGCGGTAACACTGGTGAGCCAGAACAGCAATGTTAGCAGGCTGTGCTGTCTTACATTGACAGCTCTCCCTTCGCCCTGTCCTCACTTCTTGTCCATGTGTTTGTATCTGGAGCACATCCTTGGGGTTTTGTGCATTTCTTGTGCACTCCCTAGGAGTGTGTTTTTAAGGTTTTGGGAAATCCTGTTTCCTTTCCAAGACAAATTGTGGGGAAAAAAATCAGAGACTTTTAACACCATTCTAGTGTGGTTAACACAAACCCCAGTTACATCTACACCATTTGCAGTGGTACCAGCACTGTAATTGTTGCCCACAGGAACAGGATCTGGCCCAGGCATACCTGGGCTGAAAGGAGGTGGTGAGCAGATAAAATATTATTAGCTGTGCGTTACAGACTTCCCTTGTACAGAACAAACAAGTTATAATTTGAATTAACAACTTGGGCTGTTCAGCTTCAATGGTGTGTTCCCAAAACCTAATGGATTTAGGATGGTTTGGAGTCACCTTATCTGGCAGTACTGTGAGAACCAGATTAAAAGTGCAAGTACTGGCTGATTCCAGCAATCTAAAATCACACAGCAAAGACAAAAGTCCTGTAATGAGAAAAATTAAAAGATACACGTGTAAGTGTTGATCTTGAGTGCTAGTCATTCAAGCTTTGAGCCTGGGGTATTAATCCCCACATGCACTACATAGACAGCAAAACAGTAGCATTCTGTACCCATTTTTTTCAAACATTTGGTGAGGAGAGGTGTCACTGTGCAATGCACGCTGTAGGGCAGAAGTGGGATCTGGAAATCTTCTAAATACTGTCTCATTTACTTTCTTTATAGTAGCTTAATTTATAATTTTATTCTTTAAGTACTTAGATGCTTCTCCAGACATGTATGTATGACAATCGAGGTAAGAGTAGAAGCGGAAAAAAGGGAATTTGGCTAATTTTTAAAAACACAAGCGTATGAAAGGTTGTACAGTCTATTCAAATCAAAACCAAGAATGCAGCAGACTGAGAAAGTGGGAATGGAAATGCCTGTTTAAATTCTTAACATTGAGAAGTTATGTACAAATCTATCAAAGAAGACAATTTTTTTCTCCGTGATCTTTTAATTTTGCTATTAAGTGAGTCTTTGCTGCCAATAGTGGAAATAAATGCCTGTCTTCTTGCAAAGCATCTCTCTCAACTGGAGGTTAGCAGCAGACGTAGAACAGCAGAAATGATTCTCGGTGGAAACTAGCTGAGCAACAAAGATTCTCTGAGGTTTTCCTCAAAAGTAAATTGTACCAGTTTGTAGAGAATGCTTTCTCTGCTTCTTGCTAATACAGAAATCTGATCATGGGTTACTGCAAAATGTCAGTAAGATTTTGTTTTGCATCAGATTCTAATCAAGCAGTTAGGCCTACCCTTTTGGCTGGGCGTTGCATAAGCACAAGGGCAAAGCTAACTTCTTTGAGGCTTAATAGCTACTGAAGGTTGAACTGGCAGCACTTGGTTTGTGATCTATCGTGATGACCATTGGAAAGAGTCAGTGAGATTTTAAATGTATCAAAAGGAAAATGATTTGTCTAGGGAAGGAGCTGCTTGCTTTGCTTGTTTGGCTGAAGTTTAGTCTTCACTACCTTTCATTTTTCTGATGCTGTGTGTTCTTTTTAGTCTGGCCTGTGGTCAGATTAAACTGTGCCTGAAGTATGTTTTGTAAATGAGAATACAGTCCTCTGGATTTGGAGGTACATTCTACTCTTCTGAAATGCACGATACTCCTTGTGATAGTAATAGGAGTTGCATGTGCAAATGCTTTTCTTTCCAGTAGTTAACAATGTTTTCCATAGGAGAGGCTTGCATTTAGCTAGACTTAATATTTTGGATGTGTAAATGAATTCATCCATCAGTAGTACATTTTAAAGTAAATTTTGATAACCGTAACTAACAAAATGGACGTCTTTTACATGCTGACACGTAATTTGACATCTACCAAGGTGAACAGGCTGAAATTCTTGTTCTATCTAATGCCGCAGTCATGAAAACTACAGTGTTCTGTAGCCCATAGACTATTCTACAGTCTACTTGCATTAATGTGTCCAGTAGTGAGCAGTGTATTCATAATGAATTTAATTGGGAAAATAGGGAATATTCCTACAAGGGAGGCATCTAACACAGTTTTGTTTTGTTTTCATGTACTCTTCATTTCGCTGTACCAGGTAACTGAGGACACAAATGTTGTTGTAAGGCCACTGGTGAGAAAACCCCTCAAAAATACACTTGTCTGTAAAGGTTTCTTGTTGAGACATTCTTGGATTGCACTTTTGCAGATGGAAGAATATGTACATAGCAAATGAATGTTGATGAAATTAAAATAATTGGTTATGATATCATTTGCGTGTGTTGTTAGAGAATATTTTGTTGTGACTTCTCTGTATTAAAAAAGTAATAAATACCAGACAGCTAATAGTGTGGGTTCTTCTTTCCCTGCTCTTCTGTCAGCTGCTTTCTTACATGCACCCTGTACCGAGAGACGTAATACATTCATCTCAGATAGTAAAAGAAAACAGTTTTTTGGTGTCATTTGAAATGAAGCTGTAATGTGTGACGTGTCCCTCGGCACAACGGCAGCCTGTTCACTCTGTTGCCATTTGAAATGCTCTTCTTGCAGCCCAGTGTGGTCTGGGAGCTGTGTCCCCAGAGCGCCTGTGTGCTGTCAGGAGGGATGAATAGAGAGGGCAGAGTGCTGAATCCTGTGTGTTGTTGAATCCCCTTCATGGAAATGTGCCCTCTGGTGCCTGAGACATCTCAGAAGGGATTCAGAGAGGGTGAGTACAGTACAGCAGTACTTGGCAAAGAGGCTTTCTGTGTTACAAGTGAGCTTTTCATCTCTGAAGCCCTGTTGCAGGGGAGAGAGCCTCACATCCCTGCTGCCTGAGTGAACTTCTCAGTAGTCTGACTAATTGTCATGTGTTTTAGCAGAGCTTTCTACATATGCTTACAGCAAGATTTTTCCAACCTTTGCATTCTACTGCAGAGATACGAAGGATGGAGGCAGTTCAGACTTAGAAAAGGTAAAGCAGATACTGCCATGGGTGAAGGAGTGTCGAAGCTCAGATGAGATGATGTGTGTGATGAGGAGGCTGGAAGTGCTCTGTAAAGAGCCAGCCCTAGCTGTTCTTGTTTAATTTTGGAAGTGGGTGCTGTGACTGACTTGAACAGCATTCAGGTTGAATAACTGTGTGTTGTGTTGGTGGAAAGTGTTATGGATATCTACACAAAAGCCTATTTATGAGGTGGAAATGTAAATAAATCACAAGAAAGTGCAAGTGAAAGCAGTGTTGGTACTTTCCTGTGGGGATCTTAGGTCATGGTTAACCTTGACTGATAAAACAAAATGGGAAGTAACATAAAGGGGACACTATCCCTAGATTAATTACTGCAGTCTTTGAGAGAGACATACGGTATTGAACATTAAATTGCAGAACCTCAGGTTTGATCTGGTATGGTAATTAGTGTGTTGCTAAAAGAAACTGAATTTCACTGGAGAACATGAAGAAAAAAAAAGACTCAAAAAACCCCAAACTTTTCAAGCTGTTACATGATACAGCATGTACTTAAATAGGGGAGGCGCAGGCAAGTTGGATCAGAAGCATGCCTGGGCTCATGTTCCTTCTGGAGGCATCCCTAATTGTATCTGAGATGGGGAAGGAGCTATTCAGACTGCATGTGTGTGTGGGTGTGTGTACCTAAAAATGTATGTTCAGGTTTCTCACAGCTGTGTTCACATTTGTTTTCTATTCTGACACAATTCTCTGAAACAACTTTTGTTCATTCTGATGCTTCTAAAACCTGGTCATATAAAACAAAACCTTTTAACAGCTGCAGCTGCTGTGTTGTCATTGAGTTGATACAGTAGTATTATTTTGGCATTAAATACATGTGTTAGTCATTGGGTTTGCTGAATATTCTCTTTTCGTTCAGTGATGTCCAACTAACATCAGTGGGTTATGCAGAGAAATTACAGCTGGTGGCACAGCTCAGTGACCCAGCGACAGCCTGATGCACTGCTCACGTGAGCAAATGTTGGGGGGCTAAGACAGCTGTGATGGCATTCAGGAGCAGCCATCAAGCTATGCTTCAAAAATAAATTTGTTCCTTCCTCCCATGAACGAAAAGGTTTCCTTTTTCTAGTGGACCTGCCTGGAGAGCTGTATATTCAAGAGTTCACATCTGGCTCCATTATGTAATGTAACCCTGAAGCTACTCCCTTTTGATAATATGCACTGCACTTATTTTCTTGTGAGAAAAACACGTGTGCAGATCACAGCTATCTTACTGCTTCAGTGTCCCGTTTTCCTGATTACATACGCATTTAACAAGCATTTGGAAGAAAAAAATGAAAAGCTCCAGCAGGATCTTTTCAAAATAAAAATCTCCCTGGTTATCCAGATAGAGAATAACAAATCAATGCTGTGCTTTGTGTAATGCCTGCATGACTCTTACTAATACGAGAGCGATGACTGTGGAATGGAGTTTTTGGAGATGGAAGGTAATCTGGCTGTAAAATCAAGAAGACTTAAATAATGATACAGAGTTTCCAAATGCTTCCATCTCCTTATTTTATTTTCATTCCCTAAGGTTTTGAATGAATTTGGCTCCAGACAAAGTAATAGCTACTTTGGAATGCGATTAATATTAGGCTAGTTTAATCGCCTGAGCCTTGTAAGAAACATCACTGCTAGATGATTACTTGTGTGATGTTCACAAACCTCTGAATCCCCATGTGACAATCTGATCCTTTGTATTCATATGTTTAGGAAGCATAATTCTATTAGCACGTGGCACAAATACTAGCTGAGGCATTCAGTGGCTCTGAGCTGAGCTATAAAACCTAAAAGCAGACAGCACCTCTGAGAGTTGGGACAATAAGAAGATCAAGGAGCTGAATCGGAATCAAAGATCAGCATTTTAATAACAAGAGAATTTTTTTTTTCTTTCAAGCTTTGTTTAAATGATTGCTATGGTTACAAGCCTTGTAACTAGGATACTCGCACAAATAGTAATTGAGTTTAGCTTGCCTTTAATCTCAGATTTCTGCCAAAGAATATATTGAACTGTGTGGGAGTCTTCTCAACATCAGGCAGCCTTTCTGCTCAGTGCATGGTGTTGGCTGCCAGCAGAATAGGAGTGGGCTGAAGACCTTGTATCTTTATGAAGGATGCGAGAAGCTAATGGCCAGTAGTAATGTATTGCCTCAGCTGTCATTTGCTGCTCAAGTCAGCGTGGCAGCCAGATTTGTTGGAAGAGCAAATCAAGCTCTGTTCCTAATGTTTTGGTAAGCAGTCCTCACTTAAAAATGGGTACTGTTTGTACCTTGTTGGATTCAACTTCCCATTGGTAGTGTCTGCACCTCCAGGTGCATCTGGAAGGTTATCTGTTCCCCTGCTGCACCTCTTCCCTCCCACTGGGGATGGCTCATGCCCAGCTCTGCAGGGCTGCAGTGATGCTCACAGGTGGGGCGGAAGGATGTGGTCCTCCAGACCAACTGCACTGATCCAGCATCTGTGCTTGCAGCTCCTGGATGCAGTGCGGAGGCATGGAAGCTGGCACTGGTGAGCATTAGCATGGATGGGACTGAGCTGGATTATTTTGCTTCTGTGTTTTCTCTCCCTCACCAGTGACTTCCTTCTGAGGACTATTTATCTTAAAGTTTGTGTGGAAAATGAAGGAAGATAAGAACTCGCTGGCCCATGCTGCCACAAGCCTATTGCCCAGGGGTACACAAAGCATTCCCTGAACAACAAAGCTTTCTCATGACGTTTCTTGCTTTCTTAGTCGTGCACTGGACAGATGTAATTTTCACAAATTGCCCATTTTTGGCTGAAGAAAATGAAAAAGGTGTAGCTTGCAGCAGTGCCAGGAAGCCAAGCCAGGATTTTGGCAAGGGAGCTGCTCTCTATCTTCTGAATTCTGTGGAAGTGATTGTATGACTGCTAATGCCAGAGGAGAGTTTCAAGCAGTGCTGGACATTCTAGCTGCTGGGCATCAATAATTCAGAGTGTAGCTATTGCAGAGAAAGATCACTGAATAAATTAGTCGTGTTTGGGAGATTTCTTATTAACAAAGAATTCTTAATAAGAACTATAATGTTATTAATGAGGAGCTACACTCATAAATCCCTTTTGTGGTAATGAAATAATCAGAAGTCTCTTTCATAAAGCCAGGTGAAGACATTTGGCTGAAGGCATGCTGAATGAAAGAGGTGATGGGAGAATTAACATTTCAGTCGCCCTTCTGGGCAGTGTACAGCAGAGCATAGTGAGAGGAATGGGTGTCCTAACGTAACAGATTGGGAAAAAATGATGGAATTAGGATTTTGTGGAAGACTAGGAGATGTTCAAACAAGGTGTTTGATGTCTAGTTTAGTTTTCGTGCGATATAAAATTTGGCTTAGGAGAAATTCTTTTCAGGTACAAAGAGCTTACTTTGATCTCTCCTTCCTGTCATTATCATTAGAGCCAGCATGGGTTAATATCACAGTACTTGACACAGCCCATTGCACAAGTGCCTCAAGAAGGGAGGAGAGCCTCTGGGTTTCACTCCCATATTGCACAGGAAGATGACTGCTTTCCATCTCTCTCCTCTCCCCTTTGTGAAAGCCTTGCTGGAAGTTTGTTATTTGTGTGGATTTTGGCACGTTCTGAGCCTGACTTTTTCCAATGAAAATGTACTGGCAAGTGAGGAGTGGTGGATAGCCCAGCCCTGCTGTGCTCACAGGTTGATGGCATGACTGCTGTGCTGCTCTCCACGCAGCCGCCAAGTCTGCAAACACACCTACCCCTGGAGCAGCTGGACTCCTGCTGGATCCTTTCCCTCCTGCACTCAGCAGCTTATTAGTGGAAACACTGCTTTGGGAGCCAGGCCAGAGAAAGTGGGCGTGCAATTGCAAACTCTCATTTTCTTCAGTTTATCTAATGATAAACCTGTGTGTCTGAAGTCGCATCATTTAGCTGCATCATGAACAAGACCCAGAAGCCTCTGCTGCGCTTTTGAAACCTGTAGTGTGGCAGCAAGGACCTCAAAGGAAGCCTGACTTTCCTCCATAGCACCAGGACTCCCTCTGTCTGATGTGGTACACACTGCACTGGCACAGGGGAAGGTACTTTGGGCAGGTTTTGACTCCTGAAATCAGTAATGCAAGGGCACAAAGTGTATGAACTTACCCAGTGTCTTGCCCTTGGCTTTTGGGAACAAGTCACAGACATCTCACCAAATCTTCAAGCTAAGTATTAGTTAATCATTTGTTATTCTTCAGCTGTGACTGGTGCTTTTTTAGCTAAGTTATTTCAGTGGAAGTTTTCAAAACAGAAATGTGTACCTGTGAACTTCACAAAGGCCGCTGCATGTTTACTGTTCAAACTTGGCTGGTTGTAATAGCCCTGGCAAATGCCCAGTAGAGAGCTC